GGGGGGAGGGGGTCCATTCGAGCATCAAGCACCACTCAGGGCCGTCCGTCTGAGGTCCGAGAGCCTCTGAGAGAGATACCCAAATGATGGAGAGAATGAGCCCTGATCAGCCTCACTTGTCGATCACCACACTGCACCCTGGGGCATGACCAGACCAGACCAGCCTGCCAGCCCTGGCCAACGCACATCCCCACCCTCCCCCCCGAACCATTGTTCGACAATGGTATCCGTCGACAACCCATGCCCTCCACTGTCACGGTACCATCACTGCCGTAACCACTGCCATGGTCGCCGCGTCAGGGGTGCGTGAGACGTGTCTTCGACATTGTTGCCTCGACTAGGTAACGAGGCTGCATTGCCCTGCGCCATCCTAGCTTTGCGTTGAGCAAAGCCATGCGCCTCCTCTCCGTCGTCACGCTGATACTAATCTTGCACGCCAAGGACCGCACTGCATCATGACAGGGCAGCCGACGACTGTCGAGAAGCCTCGTGTTCATCTCTCAATACCCTCGTCCTTTTAGTCTACCGGCATCCCTGGTGAAACTCGGCCTGCCTGCCCTCAAATCAATGCTGGGTCGCCTCGCAAGACCCATTGGCTCACAGAAGGCAGACGTAATGAAACGACATTGACGATGCACCCACCCCTTCATACTTCTAGAAGCCTCCCAAGACGGGCCTGACGAACCTAGCGGACAGAGAGGGACGCTTTCATCTGCCGTCATTGTCTGTGCTTTCGCAGTTCTCACCCCATTCGGACGTTGCGAAGCCATCATGCTGCAGACCCGTCGGCACTTTCAGCAGCCAGCCGCGCCAAATGTCACACTTCTCTGATGTCGGAAGCGCCCGGCACCTCATTTCGCATTCAAATGGTCCCGTTCACCGACGAACGTCTGCTCATTTCCTGTTGTGTGAGTAATGGCCCACAGGTGATCATAACGCTCCCTCGTCATTATCACACTCGCCTGATACAGCCAACGCCCGGCTGTGGCTTACGGTCATGCCGTACCAAGATCATGCTCATATCAGATGCTCTGACACTACAATCCATGGAACCGACTTAGCATCTAGAAGCTTTCCCTATCCCCTATTTTTATTCTTTAGTTTTCCTCCCCATCCGTCTCAAAGGCCAGCCCGCACCTGGAATCGGACCAAGGCGTTTCGAGCACAAGGCTTCATGCCAGGATCCGAACGACATCACTTCAAGGGCACTACGAGGTAGAGTACGTCGGGTTGCGGAAGGAAAGTCGCACCCGTCTCGCATGGGAAGCGCCGCACACTCTTTTTGTCAGTTGCCCTAATGCATAAAGGAGTCCAATTACCGACTAGTCGTCGGGCGATTCCTGTCACCAGATGACACGTTAGTAGTCAGTCTCCCATCGGTGTTTGAGGGCGCTTCTGCGAAGAGCCCAGCCGCTACGCAGAAGCGTCCAGTCCAAGAAAACAAAATCTCATCGGCTGGGCGCCTTCAAGTCTCACGCATTTGAATCTGCAGCCACAAAATGTTGATGATACAATGACATGATTGTACAGAAATAATACAGAGATGTCTTGACGCGCCCTCTTCCCCTTGACGCCTGTTATGGAATTCCGATGTCGAACATGCTGGCCTCAACGTGGTGTCGACTCTTAACGCTTGACCCAGGCAGGCATCTTCCGTGCCTTGACGTGGCCGTGTTTCTTCCTCTCCACCACCCTCTTGTCTCTCGTAATACATCCAGCTGCGAGAATCACAGTCAGCAAGCGAATATTGAAAGAGACCGAACTTCCGCACCAAGGCTTACCTGCGCGAAGAGTTGGCTTCAGAGCTGGCTCATGAGCCATGAGAGCTTTGGAAATGGCCAGTGTCAAGGCTTCTGCCTGTCCGGTGGTGCCACCACCCTCAACGAGAGCCCACACATTATACTTGTCTATCCTTTCCGTACTCTTAAGCGCCCAAACAACGCTCTCGCGGTCGTGAATGCGACCGAAAGCCTGGCTAAGCGGTTTGCCATTGATTTGCACCTCGCCTGTCCCCTCAATCACCCAGGCACGGGCTGTGGACTCTTTTCTCCGGCCAACACCAAGCGCCCTGCCGAATTTGTCAAGCTTGATCTCCTTGGCAACATTGAGGAAAGGGTTGATGTCGCGCTTGAAGCCCTCGAGGACCTTCTTGACCTCCCCTGGCATGATCTTCGGGTGGATCTGATGCAGACGCTTGACCATGTGGAGCACCTTGCTGTACGGGAGCGCCTTGACGGGCTCGCCCGTGTACAGCCTGTAGCCATCCAAAGTCTTCCATAGTTGCGGGGGAACTTCGTCCGGCGGCAAGGTCGGCAGCTTCTGGTATCTTTCGAAGAGAGCCGTGAGCTCTACTAGAGCGTCGTTGAATCGAGGTTGACGAGTGAAGTAGGAAGGCGAGGCGGGAAAGGCGCGAACGTGGACGACGCCATCAAGAGGCTTCTCGGGGGGTGGAACAAGTCCCTTGCTTGAGGAGCTGGAGGCCTCCTGGCTAAGCTCGAGGGCCTTGATTTCGTTCTGCAGCTGGACGACAGCTTCATCGGTAGCTTCCGTTTCGATCTTTGACGTCTCTCCGGCCGTGGTCAGCGGTCTCGCGTTGACCTTGGAGAAGGTCAATGGCTGCCATTGGGCCTTTGGAATCTGCGCCCGCGCAAGCTGAAGAAAGCAGCGCATGTGCTGAGACCCAGCACGCAAAGCTGACATGATGCTGTTGACGCCTGTCGTGGTTGTCGCGGTGTGATGGAGACCCGAAACCCCCATATCACGAACTGGAAATCTTTCTTGGGAGGGAGTGGCTTACTCTGGAACCCATGTCACGTGCTACGAGCTCCAGCCACAGATAAAGTGTGTTACGCCACGACTCGTTGCTGTAGAGCTCCCACTTTGGGCACGAGCGGGGCAGCAGGCGGGGCACTGTCCTCCTCTTCCGCCCCCGAGCGAAATTTCGCCTCGATGAAATTTGTTGACACCTGGAGAGGGGCTGTGAACTTTTTCTCTCCTACCTTCACCTTCTGTCTTTCCAAACCCTCTTCCTTCCATCATCTGCGCATACCACAAGCACAAGATGGCGTTCGGCAAGCTTTTCGCGTACCAGGTAAGCATTGCAGCAGCTTCATTTCATGGATGCTCGCAGTCGCTTTCGCTGTTTCCTGTGTGCCAAAGCTGATCACATTCTTCTTTTCAGGGCAACCCCCGCACCACTGCCATCCTCGTTGTGGCCAAGGCCAACGGCGTCGAGCTCGACCTCGTTGAGTCCGATGGCTCCAAGCCCACCGAGGAGCACCTCAAGGCCAACCCCCTCGGCAAGATCCCCGCCTTCCTTGGTGAGGATGGCTACGCCCTCTCTGAGGCCATTGCTGTCGCCATCTACAGTACGTATACCCTGAGTCACACTCAGACGAACCAGCTCCAGTCTCTGCTTCGCTGCGTTCTTTCTTCACCCTCTTCTCCCCCCCTCCTGCGAAATGATGACCTAGACAATTCAATCAGTTATCCCTGGCCGAATCACCGTGTGTGGATATGCTCTAACTTCTGATCTCGTTCTCATTCACAAACTTTTTGCGCTCGCATCTGTTGGAGAATTGTTGGCTAACTCACCATCATAGTCACCTCCCAGAACGAGAAGACCACTCTCCTCGGCAAGACCAAGCAGGAGTATGTTCCCCATCTCAGTACATCCCGTCATTTGATGCCTTAATGCTGACTTGGAATCGCAGCTACGCTTCCATCCTGAGGTGGATGTCCTTCGTCAACTCCGAGGTCCTCCCTCCTCTGGGTGGCTGGTTCCGCCCTCTTCTCGGAAGGGACCCCTACAACAAGAAGGCTGTTGAGGACTCCTCCAAGGTTGCTCTCAAGGCCGTTGGTGCCATTGAGAAGCACCTCCAGAACAACACCTACCTTGTTGGCGAGCGCATCACCCTCGCCGATATCTTCGCTGCCAGCATCATCTCGCGCGGTTTCGAGTTCTTCTTCGACAAGGAGTGGCGCTCGCAGAACCCCAACACCTACCGTTGGTTCGACACCATTGTCAACCAGGACATCTACACCGCCGTCGCTGGCAAGCAGGAGTACCTCGAGAAGCCCAAGCTGACCAACGTCGCCCCCAAGAAGGCCGAGGCTCCCAAGCCCGCCGCCCCCAAGCCCGCCCCCGCTGCCGCTCCTGCTGCCGAGGACGAGCCCGCCCCTAAGCCCAAGCACCCTCTTGAGGCCCTCCCCCGCGCCACCGTCCCCATCGACGAGTGGAAGCGCCAGTACTCCAACCTCGAGACCCCCGAGGCCCTGAAGTGGTTCTGGGAGAACATTCCCTTCGAGGAGTACTCTCTGTGGAAGGTCGACTACAAGTACAACGATGAGCTCACCATGACTTTCATGTCTGCCAACCTCATTGGCGGCTTCAACGCCCGTCTTGAGGGTTCGCGCAAGTACCTTTTCGGCTGCGCCTCCGTCTACGGCGAGACCAACGCCTCGGTCATCCAGGGTGCTTTTGTCGTCCGCGGCCAGGAGTTCAAGCCCGTCTTCGACGTCGCTCCCGATTACGAGAGCTACGAGTTCACCAAGCTTGACCCCACCAAGCCCGAGGACAAGGAGTTCGTCGAGAACATGTGGTCCTGGGAGAAGGGTGTCACCGTTGACGGCAAGGAGTACCCCCACGCCGCCGGCAAGGTCCTGAAATAAGCGTCTCGCTTACAGGGCGGAAGGAGTAACGTGATGCGCGATGATGATGGTTTATGGCAGGGATTGTTATGAGGTCACGAACTGGGAACGGATCGGGGTGGATGATATTCATGGTCCCCAGGGATTCCGCGTGCGGTGTGGCCCGGAGGTTTTAAAAGAGCCGCAAGTGCCCGGTAAACAAGCTGCAGATGAATATGATGAGTGAATCAAGCTGGTTCGACACATGCTGTGATAATGATAAGACGATCTCTGGCTGTGACTATACTTTCCCGAACCATGATGCGCATGACTTCTAGCACTATGCGCGCACTCAACACAGCCATCCTGTGAAGAGGCTTCATCGCAATGTCAATGTCAGGGACTGTCGTTCCGCAATATGGCTACGCGGATTGTACTTGATGACAAGACGACAAGGCCATGCGTGCCCTACGACCGTTTCCGCACCTTCATGACCCGATGCCTCTTGTTCCGTGGGTATCAATGCAACACAAAATAGTGTCAAACGTCTCAAGCCAAACGCCAGACCAATGGTGCGCCCCATACTGGCGCGTCTGCCCAACGCACCCGCCAGCCGCCCCTCCCGCCTCTCGCCGCTACGCCGAAGGCGGACGCTCGAGCGTGTAGTCGTCCCGCAGGCCAAAGGGATGGAGACGCATGTACTGGCTGATGTCGCCCTGGTAGCAGAGCGCGTTGATGTAGTCGTGGACCTGGGGCAGCACGTCGGTGGCCTCGTTGGCGTCGCCGAAAAACTCGGGGATGCGCAGCAGGTTGAAGGGCTCGCTGCGGGCCTTCTCGAGCGAGTCGTCGACGAGGACCGTGTTGGTCTGGTCCCAGCGCAGGCCGTCCGGGTGGGAGGCCTGGACGGCGGCGTCGGCCCAGATGCGCTGCAGGCGCTTGTAGCACTGGACGCGCTTGACGTAGTCGGCGGGCGTCAGGTCGAACTTGTCGCGGCCCCAGGCGGCGACGAGGCGGCTGGCGTACGCGGCGGGCGCGACGTCGCCGCCGCCCTCGGCGAGCTGGGCCACCATCTTGGCGACGTTTTCGGGCCGCGCCGACGACCACACGGCGACGTGGAGCGTGTCGATGCAGTAGTGCATGAAGCGCTTGGCGTATGGCCGCTCGATGAAGTTGTGGGATCTGCGCCGGTCGGGCCGGTGGAGGAGCGTGCCGTTGAGGTCGAGCACGACGAGGATGGCGCGGGGCCGCGCGAGCGTCGTCGGAGGCTTCTCGGCCTGCGTGAGGTAGGCTGGTGTCGGGTTGGGGATGCCGCCTGAAGCGGCGCTCGGAGCGACGACCTTGTCGCGTTCCTCTGTTGGGCCGCCGTTGTTCTTGATCTTGCGCTTGGTCCCTTTCTCGCCCCGAGCCTTGGCTTTCTTGTTGAGCTTGCCTTTTCTGTTGATTGGGCAGGTTAGTTTGCGCTTGACCTGCAGGCAGAGGAGAATATGTCTGGGTGCATTGTCGACTTACGGCTCGGTAGGGGCGTTCGGTGGAGGTAACCTCGTCATCGCCGCAGGGCCTGTTGGGATCGATACGGGCTGGTTCGTCTGCATACTACCATGAGGTGCTGTGGGCACAGGAACGGAGGGACCAGAATGGAACTGTGATGTGCCGCTTGGGGTTGTGTCGAAGTAGAAGCTGGGCATCTGAGAGGGCTGCATGGCAAAGTTCCCGCCGCCAGGGGCAGCATTGCCACGGAAGGAGTTGTACTCCATTCTAGGTTGTTTGCGTGTGTATATCTGCAGGCTTTCACGCAGTTCTGGAGCACCAGGACCTGTATGCACTGCTGTTCTCCGGGCCGGTTCTGGCTTTGCAGGCGACAAGCAGCGTTTCGCACTGATGGTCAATGGTCGTGGTTGCGAGGGTGTCCCGAGAACAAGGTTGAAGGATCGGGGATGCGTTGGCTTGGTGGACTGCGGACGCAGAGGTCCTGAGAGTATTCTTCTGGGATGGAAGTGCATGAGCTCTTGCTGTGCAACTGAATGGAGTGTGCAGAGTCAAACCTGAGGAAATGGCTTCAACAGACGTCGCATCATGGCCAGTCGCAAGCAGAGGCACGACTCAAGGCCGGAGCCACAGCCAGATTGAACCGTGTATGCATCAATCGATGTCTGCCCCGCAAACCTTACATACCTACATATCTTATCGCTCATGGCCCCCACTAAAAAGTTGGACAGGCCCACCTCCACCTCTCATGGCCTGTTGCATCGTGAATGAAGGTCCTCAACCCCTTCAATCATTGAGTCTTCAGTCTCACTTTCCACACGACGATGCTTAAATCAACAGCAAGAAAGAGGAAGGCGCCTTCTGCGGGGCCCTCGGGTCTTCAGAGGCGCGTACGCGCGCGAAAGGAGGAGATCGACTCCGAGATCGATGAGAGCTCCAATCCATCAGAAAATGAGGGCTCAGAACAGAGTTCAGGTGAAGATGAGGAGGACGAAGAGGTACGAGGCCCGCGTCACTACGTGCGATCACCGAACTGACAAACTCGTAGCCCAAAGCCTCACGGTCTTCCAAATCCAACCTAGACATGGCTTCCATCTCATTCGGCGCCCTCGCGAAAGCCCAAGCATCTATGCCCAAGCGCAGCAAGAAGGAGTCTGCAGAATCAGAAGAATCAGAGATCGATGACTCGGGAAGCGACTCTGGCAATGAAAGCAAGTACCGCAAGCGTGGCGGTCTCGCTAAGCGATCGTCAAAACATGCACCCACTGAGATGTCCTCGAAACGCCCCGTCTCTCGCAAACGCGAGATTTTCCAGGTGCCCAAGGTCGAGGCACGCGATCCCCGCTTCGACCCAGCTGTCAACTCTGGCGGGAGTAACTTTGACGAGGCCAAGGCCAAGAAGGCCTATGCTTTCCTCGATGAGTATCGTGACTCGGAGATGGCCGAACTCCGAATGGAGATTCGCAAGACCAAAGATGCGGTACAAAAGGAGCGACTACAGACCCTGCTCCAATCAATGCAGAACCGAAAGAAGGCGGCAAAGCGCAAGGACGACGAGAAGAGGATCCTTGAGGAGCACAGGCAGCGGGAGAAGGATCTTGTCCAGCAGGGCAAACAGCCGTTCTATCTTAAAAAGTCGGAGCAGAAGAAGAGGTTGCTGACGGAGCAGTTCAAGGGCATGAAGAAGAAACAGGTCAACAAGGTCATCGAGCGCAAGAGGAAGAAGGTGGCAGCCAAGGAGAAGATGGAACTGGACCAGCTGCAAAGACGATGAGGCGCAGGTGGCAGGTTCAAATCAGCCAAGATACGAAATCTATATTCACTTCACAAGCACCGCGTCGTTCCGCCGGTCATCATTATGTTCTTCTCTTAGTTGAAGTTGCCATGCACACGAACCTTTTGCGGCACGTGGGACAGTGCTTCAAATGCCCTGTGCTGATGAACGACAGGATGCCACATTCGGGAGGCTCTTGTGTTCGATTGTCTTGTTAATAGCAGGACGCAAGCGCTCTTGTTGATTGTTTTCACAGTGTTCGAAGATGTGTGTGTATTCTATCTTACCCGTGACCCGTTGTACACCTTTTATCCGCACGTCTCATCTACTGTTACAGGTTGTTACATGGCGGGATGATCTGCAGCTCCCCTATTACATGAAGCCATTTTTCTTCAAGCTCTCCTCAAACATCCCCTTGCACCTAACCTTGCTCTCCATCTTGGCGCATAGCAAGAAAGCGCCGCTCAACTTTCGGTGAAGGCTGTATGTCTCCTCAGGTGGAGGTGCTAGGCGCTCCGCAAGCATGACCGGGATCAAAGCCTTGACGCGCTCAGTAATACTCTGGTCCTTGAAATCGTAAACCTCGGGCGCCGAGGCGAGGAACGGCTCCGCCAGCGTCAGCACGGATTTGATGTGTGCATCAACCATGACTCGGCTCTCGTGGCCCGTGAGGTATCCCAGGCTCTCCGAGAGGCTCTTCACCGTCTCGCGATCGGAGCGAGATGCAGCAGCCAGAAGCTGTACGTACTGCTTGACAAACGTGTCGGGGTACTCGCGTGAGGCGCCAAAGTCGAGCAGCTCGAGCCTGTTGGTCTTGGCGTTGTACAAGAAGTTGGTCCAGTTGGGATCAGTCTGCATGAAGCGGAACTCGGTGATTTCGCGAAGACACAGCTGTAGGATCTGAGTGCCAATCCAGTCTTTCTGGTCCTGGGTGAAGGACTTGATTCGGGTTACGCCAACACCGTCCATGAAGTCCATGGTCAAGACCTGCTTCCCTGACGCTTCCAGGTAGACAGTGGGCACTAGGAATGTGTCCTGGTCGTTAGCAAGGAGCTCCTTGTAGCGGATGGCGCATTGCGCCTCGCGCTCGTAGTCGCACTCCCAGCCCAGCTCCAAACGAGCATTATCGATCGTCTTGTTCAAGTAGAGGCCCTTGGGCAGCAGTTTGGTGGCCGTCAAGAGAATACTCAAGTTGTCAAGGTCTGAGTTGATCGAATCGGCCACTCCAGGGAATTGGATCTTGACAGCAACGCGCCGGCTGCCTTCCTTCAAAATGGCTCGATGGACCTGACCAATGGACGCTGCGGCTATTGGCTTCTCCTCAAACTCCTCGAAGAGATCTCGCCATTGGGGTCCCAGGTTTGCGACCAAGACCTTGTCCCGCTGCCATGCGGGCATGTAGTCTGCCCGATCTTGAACTCTCTGGAGGACCTCTTGTAACGGTGCCGGGAGCATCTTGGAGTCTTGGAAGCTCATCATCTGCCCTAGCTTCAGTGCTGCGCCTCTCATCTTGGAGAGCTTAGAGACCAACCGCTCCATGTTTCCGGCGCTCAACAACACAGACCCCGATCCGGTTCCGCCGAAAGCCCGCCCGATGCCCTCTGTGATGGCGCCGCCCATGATTCCTGCTGCGAGGCCACCATAGTTCCAGAGGCGACCCATCCGCGACGAAGGTACCTTGGATTCTCTCAGGACATGGACGGGTCGTGTTGCCTCAACATCCGTCTGATGAGGCGCAGGGCTAGTTGCTTCGACCTTATCGAGAGCAGCTTGGAGTGATTGGTTGGCATCCTGGCTGGCCGGACCGCCAACTGGCTCTGCCTTGGTGTTGGGTAAAGGCTGAGGCGTCGGAGTGAGTGGAACAGGGTTCGCATGTGGCTTGGGCGATGCTGAATGAGAATGCTGCATGAACTCGGGCAACCCCGTGGGCTTTGGCTTTTCCCTCGCTCCGAGATCTCCCAGCAACCCGGATCCTCGTTTCGTGTGGAAAATATTGACATCGATTCCGGGGGGCAAATTCTCCGGTTCGTCAGGACGCTTTGGTGCTGACGATGGCTTTTGAGACTCGAAAACGGCCTGCGCCAGGCCGGCGTCCGGGGTGCGCTGACTTGATTCCAAGGGAGATGCATCAGACCATTGAGACGCCGTGGGCTTAGGTTGCCTCAATTGCGAGAGCACGGAGGTCGAGTCTGGGTGTAGACCTGCTGCGTGATTCAAGCCCGGAGTTGGAGACGCTGTAGATTTGTGAGGTACATGCGTGGCTTGCTGTGCGGCTTGCACCGATGAGGCAGCATCATTGGCAACGATGGGTCCTTTCTCTGTGGGCGTTGCGAATGGCGCAACTTGGGAGGCTGAAGTTGAAGCCGCTGGTGTTGGCGCTTCCTGTGGATCTGCTGACGGACGGATCGTTCGACTCTTCAGTGAAGCGGCGATGCCGGATGTCCTGTTGAGCGACTCCAGCTGCCGGCCTCGCAACGCGACATGCTTGGTTGCCACGGACCGTGAGGCATTCAGGACCGATGCCAGGTCGATGGCGAATCTAACAAATCTCATCTGAAAGGCGAGAGGAGATGCTGTCTTGCTAGCATCACACCCATATCCTTGTGAAATGAAGTCAAGAGGTCCGCACGTTGTGGTGAGCTGGGACCAAGTTCACAGGTCGTCATCGAAGCAAGGTTGAAGATTGTTTTAAGCAGCATATGCAACAATTGGGTATCTCACACCGAGGAGCGGATGGGGTGCAGAAGAAAGGGGACTACGCTCGAATCGATCCTGGGGTATCTAATTTATCTCATACATGTCATATCCTCTATTCTTTCCTTGAGACGCTCTTCAATAAAGAGCCACGAGCTCGCATGGGCGTTGACTTGGATCCGGAACCACCTGAGCTGCCGGGCCGGGGGCTTCCGATTTGGCTCCATAACCTCTGCGCTGCGGGCGTCAATCCTCCTGTAACGCGCGGGCTTGATGGGAATTTGGGCACAGGCGTCTTAGCTACTTTGCCAGACAGCCCGTTCTTCACAGCTTCTCGTTTCGATTGGGCTGCCCGCTCGACGAGACGGTGGTGGAGGCTCTCTCTCTTGCCCTGTTCCTGGAGTTTGAAAGGATTCGGAGTGGCGTCTCCTGGTCCGAGATCAATGACCGGAAGCGCCACTGTCTCCGGCTCATCATCCTCGTCATCAACAAATGCATATCCGTTGACTCTTGGCGTCTCACTACCCCCCACCATACTGGAGTTCTGGTCATTGGCCCTGGTCCGTCCAGCGATGGCATCTCTTACAGCAGACAGGGTCGGAGATGCGGGTCGCTTGATGGCAGCAGGCTCCGGTACCCTCGTGTTCAAATAATTGATCGACTTGGGCGCCATTCTTGACTCAGCTTGCGCTTTTTGCGCAGGGCTTTCGTACTCGTCGTCTACCCCCTCCGGCTCGAACATTAGGCCATTTCGGGGATTCGCGTTCCAACTGTCCGGACGCCCAGGCCTGTCGTCTTTATCCTTAATGGCCAGCCTGTCGCGCTTGAAGCCGTCATCCACTAGGCTTCTCGTCGTCGCGATCTTTGCTTCGACCTCGGCTTGCTTGATCATTTGCTTCGACGGCAACTTGTTCCCACGCCAGATCCAAGCATACTTCTCAGCCTTCTTCTGATTTTGCTTATCCAAAAGCTTGTAGAAACTCTCGTTGTCCTCGCTGGTATATTTGGCCTGGAAGCTCGCCAGGCTCATATTGGTGTCGACCGCTGGCACAGGCACCTCCCTGGCAGTGGTCGAAGCCGACATTGGCGTGTCGGCGCCATATGCTGAGGGTGTCCGCCCATTGTTTGTATGCCTTGTGTTCCTTCGTGGTGTTTGGGAGGTGTGGCGTCCAGGAGTCATGACGCGCTGCAGCCTTTGACCTGCGTTGGATATCCAGGCCGCGTCCTTGGATTCGAGAGCGTCTAGGTATTCTTGCTTCGTTTCCGTTTCGAGAAGACCAGGGAAGAAATCACGTGCGATGATTTGGGACAAAGCGTCGGTGTATGCATCTTCGTCTATGACCTTCTTCGGTCGCTTGATCTTCTTGGTCGGCGGTGGTGGCGGCATCAAATCGGTGTCAGCGCGCTTCCGCACGAGCGCCTGCGTTTGGGGAAGATCCATGGCCAAGGCGTCGAGGTCCGGGTTAGGCTGCACTGGTGGCTCGAGAGGAGTTTGTACACGAGAGGCCTAGCCTTCCGGCTACCGCCAGCGCAAGGGCGGGTGGCTGCTGTATGTGAGGGTGACGTTTCTCGGATGGAGGAAGACGTATCGGCTGGATGCTGAAGTTTCCGCACGTAACAATGCCATCCATCACGAGCAGGTGCGGAAGAGTCCCGCCACCTCCAACACAGTGAGGGTAGGATGCGTGATAACGGACGAAGAGATAGGCAAATAGGCCGTATCTAAACGACCCCTCCTAGCGTTAATGCAATCGAGGCAACCCGCGCGCGGGTTCCTCCCAGCTTCTACTCAAATGCCTTTGAGCATGATCCTTGCAAGGTTCAGTCCATCGTGAATTGCCTCCTGCTGAAGGGCGATTTTGTTTACCCATTTTCTACCCCGATTTACCCCAAAACTCAAAACTTTAAAATCTCGAGAGTTCGCTCAGTTTCTTCGCAGTGCTGCGTTTCTCCTCGGTGCAGCAGTATTTCAGCGCCCCTCGATTCTCCGAACCTTGCGCCGAGCTTGGCAGCACAGTACCCCACGCGGCGAAACACCACAGACATGGCCACCCCAGAGGAGCAAGCAACGGCGTTGAAGAACCAGGGCAACAAGGCCTTCGCCGAACACGACTGGCCCACTGCCATCAGCTTCTACACCAAGGCGATCGACCTGAACGACAAGGAGCCCACATACTTTACCAACCGAGCGCAGGTGTGTTGCCCTGTCACCTCTTTCCTGCTCGCGTGACTGATGTTCTCTCTCCTTGCGCAGGCTCACATCAAGGCCGAGTCCTACGGCTATGCCATCGCCGACTGCGACAAGGCCCTCGCCTTGAACCCCAAGCTCGTCAAGGCATACTTCCGACGAGGCCTGGCCCACACCGCCATCATTCGGCCCAAGGAGGCTCTCAAGGACTTTAGGGAATGCATCAGGATCGACCCCAATAACAAGGATGCCAAGTTGAAGCTTGACGAGTGCAAGAAGATTGTGCGAAAGCTTGACTTCTTTGCCGCCATCGAGGTCGGCGACGAGCCCTCGGCTGCTGAGGGTCTGGATGTCGATTCCATGGTGGTCGATGCCGACTACGACGGTGTCAAGCTCGGCAACGAGATGACTCAAGAGTTCATTGATGACATGACGGAAAGGTTCAAGACTGGAAAGCTGATCCACAAGAAGTACGTCTACCAGATTCTTCTGGCCGTCAAGCAGCTTGTGTACGACGAGGCGACCATGGTGGAAATGACGATTCCTGATGATGTGAAACTCACTGTTTGCGGTGACACGCACGGTACGTAGCGGGCCACGGCTCTTCTCGAGACACTTGACTAACGAGCGTACAGGCCAGTACTTCGATCTGATGGAGCTGTTCCGCCTGAACGGCAAGCCGGATGACAAGCACTACTACCTCTTCAACGGCGACTTCGTCGACCGAGGATCATGGTCCACTGAGATCGCGCTGCTACTGTATGCCAACAAGTGGCTGCGTCCCAAGGCCTTCTTCCTGAACCGCGGTAACCACGAGACCGACGACATGAACCGCGTGTACGGTTTCGAGGGCGAGTGCAAGGCAAAGTACAACGAAAGGTACGTCTCACATGCTTCGAATGAAGGACAGCAAACTCACAACACCCAGGATATTCAAGCTCTTCTCTGAGAGCTTCTCTGCCCTGCCGCTGGCGACCCTCATCGGCTCCAAGTACCTCGTTCTGCACGGCGGTCTGTTCTCCGACGACAAGGTCACCCTCGATGACATCCGTGCTCTCGACAGGCACAAGCAGCGCCAGCCTGGCCAGTCTGGTCTCATGATGGAGATGCTCTGGACCGATCCCCAGGAGGAGCCTGGTCGTGGTCCCAGCAAGCGCGGTGTCGGCATGCAGTTCGGCCCTGACATCACCAAGAAGTTCTGCGAGAACAACGGTCTCGAGGCTGTCATTCGCAGTCACGAAGTCCGCATGGATGGTTACGAGGTGCAGCATGATGGACGGTGCATCACAGGTAAGAGAACGGTGGTATTCATGTTGTTTTATTTGTTTGACTGACCCTTTTCGCTCTAGTCTTTTCTGCGCCCAAGTATTGCGACTCGACCGAGAACCGGGGTGCTTACATCAACATCGGACCCGATTACAAGCTGCAGTTTGAGCAATTTGATGCAGTCGCTCACCCGGACATCAAGCCGATGGTAAGTTCCTCCTGTGCTCGGCCCTCTTGAGACACTCCGCTGACCAGTCTGCAGGCGTACGCCCAAAGCTCTCTTATGTCGTCTCTGATGTGAACGAAGGCTCGACTTAGCGATGACGGTCATGTGTCGGAGTTGGGTTTCGGAGCATCGCCGCTGATTAGGAGCGCGCAGGGGGGCGTATATTTTGCCGCCGTGGCCAGGTGGGATAGGCGGCTCATCCAAAAAGGGGAGTTCTGGCCGTTGTCTTATAGTCGAAACCAGAACCAGCCTCAAACGTTTGTTCATGAACTCTGTCATGACGTCCAAAGCTTTTCTTGCCCATCTCCGCCGACCATGGCGCCGAGCCAGTCAGAGCATTGTCGTATTCTGAGGATCGTATGAGCACCAGCATCTCGCGTCCCCGGCCATGCTGTCAGGGCAGCCGCGAAGGCGCCTAGGTCTTGGCGGGGGACACGCAGCCAGCACTCGTTGCCCTGGACCTTGAGGATATCCAGCGAGATTGCTGCGCCCGTGGCGCCCAGGAACTGCCTCAAAGCAGAGGTACAAAACGAGTGAAATTGCAGCGCGTCTGTTGATGTCGTCCCCGGCTTATCTCTGGCCACCTCCAAGTGGGCATAGGAGTATAGCGGAGCTTTGATCGAGCATGTCAAGAGTTCGTGCGACTTGTGATTTTGGTGGGCCAGCTGTGTGCTCGCCGGTGCAGTGTCCTGACCCTTGCTCTGAGTCGACATTGCGGCTTTTGTGCTGCTCTGCCAGTTTCTCGGAACCCTGAATTATGAGTTTTGTCGTGACTTGGTGATGAAGTTTTAGCATTGAGCAGGTCTGGTCGGGTTTGGTGTACAGTGCGTAACGGCGGGGCAGCCGCCCTTTTAGTTGCATCTCCCATCAAAGCTCGAGGACAAACAATCACCCTATTGTATGTATTTCTTGACGATCCAGCTACATAGAAACGACCAACACCGCATTGCGCCACGAACAACACCGCGCCCGGACCCAAGCGCCTTCTCCCGACAGACGCACGACCGCCATGGCGAATAACTTTGTCGCTCCAAACCAGCAGCGCTTCCTCCGCGCTTGCATGGTCTGCTCCATCGTCATGACCACAGCAGTACGACCCGCCAGCCACCGCTCCACCCCCTTGACCGATTGCGAGCTGACCTGATTGCCACAGCGCTTCCGCGACGAAGGATGCCCGAACTGCGAGGAGGTCCTCCATCTCGCGGGCTCGCAGGAACAAATCGAGAGCTGCACGTCGCAGGTTTTTGAGGGCCTCATCACGCTCGCGGATCCCTCGAGGTCATGGGTTGCAAAGTGGCAGCGCCTGGACGGCTACGTCAAGGGTGTTTACGCGACCAAGGTATCGGGCCAGCTCCCGGACGAGGTTCGGATGCAGCTCGAGGAGGAGTATGGCCGGCGGTACATCCCGTAAGTTCCTGTGCCTTTGCTCTCGCGACAGCCTCGGCGCCCAGGTTCACGTTCTAACAGAGAAACAGGAGAGACGGTACTGAGCAGGACGATGGAGCTTGATACAGCTTGGGCGCAACACGTGTGATTTCTGCGACGGCGTTTGATGGGGGTGGGGGCATATGAAAGAGTCGAGGCCCAGACTCTTCCGGAAATTCATAACTTCTTGCAATTGGTATCTACCGTGGCACCCGACCATGAACCCTGACCGTGACCGAAAGACTGATAACGCCGAATACTCGATGACAGATGTGTAACACTAGTTGTTCGTTCTTTGCTTCTTCCACGAAGGCGGTCCTGACCCTGGCGTGTCCCTCGAGCGTTTCCTGTCCATCCTCTCCATGTCTTCCTTCATGATCCTCTCCGCCTCGCTCATCTTCTTCGGCTGTTGGAAGGCATTCTTCTTGGTGCTGCCGCCGCCTAACGCATTCTTTTTGGCTTGCGCAAAGACATTCTTGGTCTGCGGCTTGGCCGTCATCTTGAGCGACACGCCGCCGAGTGACGGCTTCGCGGCCGGTGTGTCCTTTGTCTCCGCACTTGACTCCGGCTTTGTCTCTTGCGCCGGGGCCGGCGACGCTGACGTCTCGTCCTTGGGCGGCGTCACCTCTGGCTTGGCTGTGGTCGTGGCGGGCGGCTTCGCACCGAAGGAGAGCGTAATCTTCTCACCCGCCTGCCTCTTGAGTTGGCGGTCCTCTTCGTCCTCCTCCTCGTCACTCTTGACACCCGCCGCTTTCTGTGCCCTCTTGATCTGCTCGCGGATCATCATCTGTTCCACCTCTTCATTGCCCCTGTCCTGCGCCTCCTTCCGCCTCAGCGCATCCTGCCTGCGCAGCGCTTCGGGCGAGTTGTCGATCCACGAAATGTGCAGCCCCTTGTCCGTCTCCTCCACGCGACAGATGCCCTCGCGGCCGAGGTGCTTGGCAAACTCGGTGAGGCTGGGCCACTTGGTCGCGTTCATGTGGACGTGCTCCTTGTTGGCAATGTACTCCTGGTAGAACCGGTTGATCTGGACCTGCTTCTCGCCGTGGCCCGTCCGCAGGAGCATGATGAAGTCGCGCAGGAACTGGTTGCTGTACTCGTTGATGAACTTCTTGGGGTCCTCGCCGACGACGAGCATCTGGCGCACGTGCGACTCGCTCTGCGAGTGCAGCTTGAAGCCGTTCTCATCGCGACACTGCTTCTCGCACACCTGGCAGAACCAGCGCAGACGCTGGAGGCCCTTGCTCTTGAGCTTGTTCGACAGGTGCTTTGTCGAGCCGACCTCTGCTTTGCCCATGGTGGCGGTTTGGTGGGAACCTGATGGAGTGCTGAAGGCTGTGCTGATGTTGCGCCGGAGCCAGCAATGTCGCTGGGGTGTGTAAGATGCGCAGTATTGATTGTAGAAGGTCGCAAGTCAAAGCACGATGCTTCACCTGTGTGGATGTACACCAAGGTTGTCGATGTGCAGACGCGCGCTTCAATGTCGCAATGGCAATTGTGATGCCCAGGCGTATCAAACATGAGGGACGCTAAAAGATCTTATCAGCAAGCACCTACTCGGCGGGACGCTTCCGAATGTCTGGGAGCATAGGTGGGGGCGACGTTTAGTCAGCACACTTTTTCGAGCAGCACCGTGCCACGTATTGGGCTGCTCCCTGAGGAGAGGCCCCTGAGAGGCAAGGGATGCAAAGTCGGACATCGACTTTGCTCAGTTCTGTGGACTTCAGAGTGGCTTGCTCATGTGACGGTTGGATCATTGTTGGGAATATGATTTTGAACTACGCTCATGTGCTCATATAGACCAGCCTCTGCAGCCCCTCCCCAATGGACGCGGCGCAGTCCGCCTGGTCTTCCAGACCACCCGTGATAAATCAAGTCATCAAAGTTGTTGCCCATCGAGTGCGGCACATCGCTTTTGAGCCCACGATACGTGTGAGCCTCCGCCGGCTCCTCCCTTTGCCAGCGCCACCATGATGAATTCAGAACATATGTCATGACAAGGCCAGTCCCGCCCTTTACACGTAGCCCTTGCGCGCACCCTGGAAGAAGAACCGGACAACGAAGACCTGCAGGCCGCCCATGAGAACAATGAGAGCGCACTGGATCATGCTGAAGTTGATGATCCTCGACTCGGTGCTCCTGACGGTGGCAAAGTTGCGGTTCTCGCGCGTGCGGAAGTACTTCTGGCCTCTGGAGATGGTCGACAGCTTGCTGGAGAGCTTGAAGACAGTCTCTTCGAGGACGGAGGTCTGTTCGGGGGAGGTGCCCTGCTTCGACGGCAGCTCGGCGCGCTTCTCGTTCTCGACCTAGTGCGGCAAGTGTCAGTGTAGTTCGTATTCGTCGGGGCATGAGGTGTGCTCGTACGGCAATCTCAAAGTCGACGAATTTGTCGGCGAAGGTGCTCATCTCGTTGTTGAAGCAGAACTGGTACTCGCCAATGACGATGGCGTTGAAGACAAAGTCGCCCTGGCGCTCCTTCTCGCCATCGAGGATGATCTTCTGATTCGGGCCGGTGACAACGTAATCGACATCGAACGAACCACCGGATTGGACCTGTCCAATACTGTCAGCAGGCTGTAGCCAGGAGGGGGAATGGCGGCGATGCTCACGGCGAAGTAGAAAGCAATCTTCTCGCCCGCATTCTGGGTGACAGTGTAGAAGCAAGCCTTCTCGTGGGCTCCGAGCTTGTAGGTGAGGGCAGTGGCCGCAACTTGGGAGACGAGGCAGGCGTAGAGCCCGCAGGCGAAAGCAGACAACCTCATGATGGGCGTGGTTGGGGCTGATCTGGCATGTGCCGGGCGTTGATCTCGTCGGCTGGTGCGAATTTGGGGGGCAAGCTGCAAGCTGTCGCCAAAAGCTCGAGTGACGAACCGGCCACGGTCGCGACTCGATTGAGAGGCCCGGCCCGGATAATTAGTGCCCCGTTTGGGATGTAGGCCCTTGAACGTTCAGCCACAAACGATGGCTCCAGAGCCCCTGAAGTGTGGCTGATGGAGTCAGATCACTTATCGCGTCACAACACCGCGTCCGGACCCACCCGCGCGCGTCTTGGTGACTTCATCAGCACTGACGTCTTCGCCTTGCAGGGGCGCTCAAGGTTACCGCGACAGCGCCTATGGTCCCCAGTTCGGGTGCTGCCTTCGCTGTGTGCCGGCTAGCTTTACCTACCTACTACATGTCACGATAGGCACCAAACGCTTCTCGACGCGCCAATGTCGGCCTTTTCCTAATCATTTCCGATACTTTTCACTCAAACTCGCTTGTCTTGCCTCTACCCGTGATACCCGTCTGATCCCCATTATCACTTTGCTTTGTACCTTTCGCACTTCGCCTGCTCCTGTGGGGCATCACAACCCTCACTCACAATGTCTCTCCACGAGAAGACAGCCAGGTACTCATCAATAGTCCTGAGGCTTCTTTCCTACAGCTTCTTTCGATGGGTTGCCGGACCTGTGCGTACTACAAGGCTCCCTACGAGAACGAAGTGCTGACCATGACACAGGCTGCCGTCCCCCTGACGATTCTCACATTATTTGCTGTTTACGTGCCTTCTTTCATACTATCTTACCTGAAAGGGCCAGACTATCAGGTCGTTGACGATCAAGTAGAGGTTATTGTCGAGGAGCCTGTCGTCGTCGAGGGCGAGGCTGGTCAGGATGACAAGGTCGTCCTCGAGGCTGAAATCGATGAGACCATCACACTGGAGGAGAAGCCCGCCAACCCCCTGAAGTCGTTTCTCACCGGCGCACCTATTCACCACAGCCCGATCCTGTCGCTCCTCACGTTCCTCATCAACGTGGCTCTGGCTACAATGGTTAGTGATGTCCTCTTCAGAGCGCGGTACCAGTATCCGAGCAACGATCTTTCCTTCGTCAGACTCGGCTACGTCTCCCACGACGAGGCCAAGTTCCTCGTGAGAGAGCCCGACCAGACGAAACTACCTGTCACGCTCGAGATCCATGTCAAGGATGCCGTCGCTCCCTTCGACAACCCCCTTTGGCTCACCGGCGGCGAGGTCACACTGCTAGACAACTCAACCGATTTCACCTCCGTTCTGAACGTTCCTCTGAGGCACCCCCAGCAGCGCATTTACGAATGGAGGACTTCGAACAACCACTCCGGCGAATTCACGTCGCCTCCCAAGCCTGGACAGCTATCGTCTTACAATGATGGAAAGTTCACCTTCTTGTCGACGTCGTGCATCCTTCCGCGGTTCCCTTACAACCCACTCGATCATCCTCTCTCCATCCCCGGTCTTCGCCATCTCGCAAAGCTCCTCCCATCGCTG